TAAGCGTCGGACCAGCGGACACGCCTTCAAAAATGACGTCACGACCTTTGCACCCAAACTTGTATACAACAATTTTGTAGTTTTGCAGATATCGTTGTAGCTTTTGAAGTTCAGGTATTCCACACCCCTCCTCAGGGATAACAATATCAGCCTTTTCCACAAGTTGTACAGCTCTTTGTCCTTGTATTTTTTCCTCGATCACGGCGGATTCTGCTATAATCTTTGTCTTTGTTCAAATGGGCCATGGCGATGACAAGGGCTCGTGGGAGACACAAATTATCGGTGTTTTTAACGGTGATAATGCCTTTTCTTTTGGCGCATTCCTCATCAAAGGTATTGAAATTCTGAGCTCTACCACGACCAGCAGGCAACCTTACGGACGTAATACCCAAGCAAAAAGTCTCGGTATTCAACCCCACAGAATTTGACTGATAGATGGAAGATATCTTCTCCCATATGTCCTCAGTTGAAACGTCGGAAAACATTTTAAAAGCTATCCATCCTTGACCGCGGGTAAAGTCTTTGGAACAGAAAGTGAATCCAACTTGATCACTGGGCTGGAGATGTTCAGTTCCTTTGGCTACTATTTCCTCCAGAGCGTCTTTGATCCATCCCACAGGTTCGACGTCTTTAGGGATAGGTCGTATTTTAAATTCCACTTCTCGCCCATATAGATTAAATTTTTTAATCTTCTTAGTAGAATCCTTAACGATGAAGAATTTTTCCATTTTTTAAAAACTAAAACGTTAACTAGCGACTAAATCTGAACTGAGCACGTCTGTTCGCTGCAGATAACTGACAAGATAATTTGCGGTGATTCATAGGTATTTATAATCTCGATTTTACCCCCACCACTTTTTAACTGACCACAGTGTTTCAAGGTCACCGCTGTTATCGTTGGTCAGTATTAACTCGTTGACAGCCTGCGCTTCCTGCCCATTCACCCATGCTTAACAGCCCCGCCCGGTACTTCTTGCATATCACCGCTACGACAACACCTGCCCTGAACCTAACCTCATTTGCGACGTAGGTTTTCAATATTGTATCAATGTTAAAAATTAACTAACATTAACTGTATGCACCACATATATGAGCAATTCCATTTTTATATGCACACTGAATATGACGTGTTGATTATTGAGATCATCCTATACGCATTGTTTCCCGCGAATTTTATACGTTTTTCCATTTAAACTGAATCAGCAGAATTGCATCTATAAATATCATTATTCATGGGCTTTTATCGATCTATATGCAAATATTTACCGCAAAACATGAAATGAGTCACATCGCTTACGCATAGACGTTATACTACACCTTACTATCGTCGGCTGTCTGAATCACTTCCGGTCGGGTGCGCTATCTAACGGGGCCCGCCAATCAACATATACCATCAACCCGTTCAAACTTCCCGCCGTCTGATCCACCAATCAGAGCACGCGGTGGATCTAGCGGTTCCCGCCAATCAACATATACCATCAACCCCGTTCAAATTTCCCGCCGTTTGATCCGCCAATCAGAGCACGCGGTGGATCTAGCGGTTCCCGCCAATCAACATATACCATCAACCCCGTTCAAATTTCCCGCCGTTTGATCCGCCAATCAGAGCACGCGGTGGATGTGGTGGGCGTGGCCAAAAAGTGGAAGTGGTGGGGGGCGCCCAGAGTGCACCAGTATCTACTCATATAAACACTCTGTATATTGAACTTAACAAATTCGAGATTGCCATGCATTAACAAACGTCCAAACCTGCTATTAAATTTAACAGATAGAAAATCGAATTTATAATAGAAATCAAAATACTTGAAAGTTGTCCTGTTTAATCTGTATAAAAGCATCATGTTGGAATCAAAAAGTGTTCTTGTTTATAATACAATCGCTTTGTCACGATTTTATTCAATATTTCAATAGAAATCACTGATATTTAGAGAGCTTTGACAGCTTCCGACAAGTTGAATTTCAATAAGGCATTTTCCTATTGGTCCAAACTGATTAACGATGGTGAAATTGGTACTAATACTATATTTCCCGATACATTTTTTATTTAAAACTAAAAATATCGACGGATCGCATTCCTATCGACTGCACCACGGACTTGTAAATATTGCACAAACAAGATGGGGGCGATACTATATTATATATAAGCGTTATGCTTGGTGTGTAATTTAATGAAGTTAATTGATTCTGTGAGGTAATATTATATATTATAGTATATATAGTGTGGTATATATAGTATAGTATATATAGTATATACCGGGTGTTTCAAATTCGAGCCTCCCCACTGGGATCTCGGAAACGGTAAAAACGGTAAGAGATACGGAGTTGCTTAAATAAGCTAAGTAACAAATTACCGCTTAAAGAAATTCGAAATACAAAGTACTTCCGGAGAGGCGGAAAAAACTTAATTTTCCCAAAATTGTTTTAATTTTCTTGACTTTATTTCTAATGAGATTACAAAATAAATAGCAAATTAACATTGTCACTGTTTTTCCTCTACAAGAGGGCCTAATTGAAATTTCAACATGACGTTTCGTCTCTTGCCCTCCACCATCAACTTTATTTTTCCTTATTGATGACATAATAGATTTTCACATAGGTAAAAACAGCATACTGTCAAAAAAATTGGGCATAATGTCACTTTTCAAGATACGTGATACCTGTGCAGCAGACCTCAAATCTACGTTACGAGTGTAACAGGGTTTGGAAGACTGAGAACAAGGGAAATAAACCGAGCAGTGGGCAATGTAGAGAGAAGTCAGGCCTTGCTTACAAAATAACCGACAATCTTTTGAACATCTACTATGATTTATTCCTACTTATTTATGACTATTACTGTTATTGTCATCAATAAATTTTTCATTTCGTGTTCAGGATTCAGCAGGCCTTTTTCATGTCCTCATAAATAATTTACGTTCCAACAACAAATTGATGGCCAACTAAGGAAATATATCACTGAAATTAGGACGGAAAACTCAAATGTACAAAATTCCAATATATCCTCCGTATGAAAAAACAAAGTTGGTGATGGAACTCGAAAGAAGACACCTCGAATTGAAAAATTGACAACGCCATCTTATACAGGAGACAAAGTGATAACGACAACATGTAATTTACTTTGAGATCCCATCTCAAGTAAACTCAGGAAAGATAAAAAATGATTTTGCGATAAATCTGGTATAAGAAACAAATTACTATCTGATAGTTTCAAGGCCAACATGGGAAATTCTATTTATTTTTTAATAAGTGAGGTTTGACAGTGCCAATATACGACATTTTCGGAATCAAAGTTAAAGACTCAATTCACCTGTTAGAGAATTCGAGTGGACTGTATAGCGCCTTGTTCAAGAATGAAATGTGGTTGTCGCCTACCTTTGATCCGGTATTCTGTCTAATTCTGGTTCGTATTCCTGGCTTAGCGGTGATACAGGAGCCTGAAAATTGCGGGAGCGATTCTGACTCGATGCGTTTGCTGCGGATATGCGGTTTCTGCCTAAATGGGTTGACTGCGTAGATACGTGGTCGCACTGTATGCGGTTGCTTTTTTTTGGGCACTAGGACATTGCTTCCCATTAGCCAGATCCAATCTTTGTATATGTACGTATATCTAATTTTGGACAAACACACGACGTCACAACATCCATGGCTTCGAAAATGTGATTTCCGAATGCGAGATTCGAACTCGCGGCCCGGCCGGCCGGCTGATCAGTAGCACGACACTCTGACCCACCCGGCCAACCGAGGTCCCTATATGCGGTTGCGGCGTCTATATGTTATCACGGTATGCGGGTTGCGGCGTATCTGCCTGGTTTGACTGAGCTAGCATCTCTCTTCCTGTCACTGTTCCAGCAGCGCATGCGCGCGCGGCAGGCAAGCGACAACTCAGACTTGCCCTGAGAAAAAATAAACTCACACAACTCACCAGGCATCAGACTTATACCCTCTCCACACTCCCGCTTGGATCACGGCGTGAAATCGCGGCGCGAATCGCGGCGAAGTGTTCTACAGTTCCACACTCGCAGATGTTCGCACCTGCTTCACAGTATAGTTCGCGCTTGAGACGAATATGGACGGTGAAATTGCTACTGCTGCTGCTGGGCTACTTTGCGCTTTGGCAATTTATAATTACGCCGATATAAGTAAAAGAAAAACAATTAAAAAGAAGTGGAGAAAACGAAGATGGTGGATCACCACCATCCACCGAAATAGAACAAGGTAATTAATATCAAGATAATAATGGTCGCACGCAGCTCAGTGTCTTACATTTACTGCCATCGCAGATATTAAAAAAACAAGTAGGTATTTCACTTTTAGCTGTGTAAAATGACAGTTGTGATGAAGGCTTGAAAAGTGAAATATTCTGCTCATGCTGCACTCACTTATCATGTACTACAAGGGCTGATACTCGATAACTTGACCTCTACCTTATTTTTAGTCTTTGCTTTTTGTTACAGTGCTGTTATGGAGAAGCAAATAGATGAATTAGTTGCTGAACCTTCCGGTGAAGTCAAAAAGTTTTTCCGGATGTCGTTAAATGATTTTGAATACTTACTAAATCAAATTTCATCCCAAATTTCAAAACAAGACACCCAATTAAGAAGAGCTATTCCTGCCCAGATACGTCTTGCTATAACATTGCGATACTTAGCCACAGGAGATAGCTATGAAAGCCTTCATTTTTTGTTCAAAATATCACCACAAATAATATCAGAAATTATTCCAGAAGTTTGTCTAGCCCTATGTCAGGCATTGAAGGATGAAATAAGAGTAAGTATAGAAGAAAATATTTTTTTAATGAAAATTTGTTTAAGTATATTGAAAACACAAGTATGTAATACAATAATCTTAAATCTAACACGACTGGTTATATCTAAAAATATGTGAGTACCGAATACCAGTGGCTAATATAAATATAACATATGCATCTGACATCAGATCAAAAATATAAATTGATATCAAGATACGGGCAAATTTAGCCGTACATTCAATGTTTTTCATGTGATTTAAGTCAAGTCGAATGCTGTTTGGATTATATTAATTGCCTGATTAGATTCTGAGTTATCGGTGACTTGGTTCGGAATATGGAGGACAGGATATTCAACATCAGGTGTGCGAATCACCTGGTTGGATTGAATCATAATCTTAGGAGGTGGGGCTGATACTGCTTTTCTATTTTGACAATAAGTTTGTTGAGTCACCTGCTCATAACGATTGGTAGGCTCTGAATACGTAGATGATGATGTGCCAGGCCTTGATTCATTAAAGTTGTGGGCGATGCTGGGATATGTTGGCGATGGAGTTTGCAGGGAGGGCGTCTCCTCCAATTGGTACCGTAGGTACATGCCGTCAATGTCGCGCATAAACTTTAATCTAGTAATTTCAGATAGCTTTCGCAACTTATTTGCCAATAATTTGCCATATAAATCGCAATCATCGCTAAGATGGGTTGATGATTCATTTCTGTTTAGCGCGGATTTGAATGTGGCAAGAGCATCTTTAACAATATTTCCAGCATGAATTAGCTCCGAAGGGTTTTGGCGTCGGCGGATTGTCTGATTGCCGTCTCTTTGGGTGTCCATAGACTGACTTTGATTTTCATTCGTCTCTTCAAGTATCTCTTCAGTTGGTTCGGAATTTGCTCCTTGAGTCTCCTCCAACCCGCGTTCCTAAAAAAAACATACAATTTCATGAAGGTTATATATATATATATATATATATATATATATATATATTGAAGAGTTTCTATCACTTTGTGGTGTCAGACGAAGGTTTTATGTTTTCTTTTTTGCAGATACCGTCTTGTCCGGAGAATGGCTTTGTATTGAGAAAGGATTTGCAAGGAAGTTTCCTCTAGCAATAGGATCAATAGATGGCAAACATATTGTTCTCGACTGTCCTTTCAATTCTGGCTCTGAATACTATAATTATAAAAGAACCTACAGTATAGTATTATTGGCATTAGTTGATAGTCACTACAACTTCATATTTGCTGACATTGGCTGCCAAGGCAGAATAAGTGACGGTGGAGTTTTCACCAATACTTTGTTATGGAACAAGATATGCACGAATAGCTTAAATTTACCACCGCCGCATCCTTTGCCCGGTTCAAATATTGATGTTCCCTACATTTTTTTGGGAGATGGAGCCTTTGCACTTTCAGAACACTTAATGAAGCCCTATCCTGGTCAGCACAACATAGGATCAGAAAAACGTGAATTTAACAAGAGATTATCTTCAGCTCGAGTGGTGGTGGAAAATACTTTTGGTATGATGACTGCCCGATTTAGAGTGTTTAGAATGCCGATTCCATTACAACCAGAAAAAGCTACCCTTATAACAATGACTTGTATATTACTACATAATTTCTTGAGACGAAGCTCCACTTCTTCGTGTATCTATACACCACCCGGATTTATTGACATTTATGATGATGATTCAGTACTTATACAACCTGGATCATGGAGGAAAGAACAAGAAAAAACTTGTGCTATCCGTAACTTGAGGAACGTAGCTCGGCGATCACCAAAAGATGCCACAGAAATAAGAAACGAATTCACCAAATATCTAAGTAATGTTTAAGTACTTTATTAATAAAACATATAGCTTACCGTGTCAACATTATTTTTAGACTTGAGGGTACCTCCCAAAAACTCATCCATAGTTTCATAAGCGAACCAAATAGGCTGATTGATATATATCATCGGCACCAGCTCCCGATTGAATAGACTTTTTGACTTTGTTCTTATAACTCCTATAACTTGACATTAAAGAATCTTTTTTCTTTCTCAATTCATCCACTGGGATTTCCATCACTGAGCTTATCCGCATCCATGCATCATGAGTTTTAAATTTATTCCTATAGTCTTTTATCTTAGTGTCCCACAGTACCGGTTCAGCACGAAAATATTCCAAAATTGATAGTTCCAATTGGTTACTCCAGTTAAAACTCATTTTTCACGACAAATCGAAAATTCGTATCCATAAAGAAAAACACAACCACTGCCGTCACTCGCTAGGAGGCAACTGAGCCACCAGCGAATGAGGAGCCTAGTCATGTTCGCGCCTTGCGAACCCTTTGTCGCGGGACGAAAAACCGACAGCAAACGGGAACGACGCGCGAACGCGACGTGAAGCCGTGAAGAATACGCGAATGGGTTCCACACTCATGGGTCGCAGGTAGTTCGCGGCTTCGCGCGCGATCCGCGCGGGAGTCTGGAGAGGGTATTAGGCAGCAGCGGTGACCGCAGTAGTAGACTCTTCGGTCTCCTGATCAGTTGCCGTGCGCTGTGCGGGTTCGAATCCCATCCCAAGAGAATTTTTTCTCTTGGCTATGGATTTTGTAATTTTCCGTAGGTGGTAGACGGTCTCTGACTGTCGAACGCAGAGGTATCACCCGGCGGATCTGATAGGCGGAGCCAGAATGTGAGCATTTTGCATGCACACGTCTTCCCTCGCCAGAGTCCGTGTGGCGTGTCCCCTTCCCCCTGTATCCCCCTATAGCCCCCCACGGTACCTCATGGGTGTTTAGGCCTTAGGCATTCGTGGTAGTTGGAATATAAAAAAAAGTGTTGCCAAGTCAAAAATTTACAAAGTAAAACAGGTAGGTCACAACAGGAAGCATGAAGTCAACCTGCTTGACGCCATTCGTCATTAACGACTAGGCTTCTTCTTAAGAAGTTTTTTTAATGTGTACTTATTGTATCGACAAATGAAACAGTTCTCTACCGCGAAATATTGTGTTTACGATACAACAAACAAAAAATTAATAATACAGAATAAGAACCAGAGAGGGCTGCAATTCATTTAGAAGCCATCTGACGGCGCGTCGTTATTGATGGCTCTTAGTATGAAATACGGCAGTGTCGTTAATAAAAAGGCCATATCACTCATGCGTCTGCAATTTGTTTCCTTGATTAGACCAGACGAACAGTCTACGTCTGTGGTAGATCATCCGCTTTTTGCCTCTGATAAGTTCTTTCTTGACCAATCGTTTAAGGTGGCAAGCACAAGAAAAGTATCGAAATGGAAGTTCATACTTATGTACCACAAATATATAGGATGACCCAAAACGCAAAATTTCAGTCGGTCATGGCGTGGCTATCCATGGTAAAAGCCTTATGTAGCATATAAGAAATAGAAAAAGTAGACAACGTTATACAAATTTCTTATTTTAAATGATTAATACGATGAAATTCGGAATAAAATCTACTAAAACAGGTCCTGGATGGGTATCACGTATTTTGAAAACTCACATTATGTTGATTTTTTTTGACATTGTATTATTTTTTGATGGACAGTTGTGAACTCGTTTTGTTGTACGTGTTGCCTAAGCTGTAAGTTGTATACTATAGCTAGAAGGAAACGGCAATGCATAGGTGCATTGTGAGGATTTGCGTACTAATATGTGTTGATGGTAATTCCGGATTCTTGTCTCAAATACTTGAGATTCAAAGCTAGTAATCAGCTGCGCATCCACCTTTTCCCATTCATTCTGGAAATTACATTATGCAAATTTTCTGAATTTCAAAAATGAGAGAGATAAGGAAAGAAAATCCTTGGTTGGTGAAAGAACAGGTGAGAAAATATGCTACAGACAGGAATATTTATGAAAGTGAAAAGGCTATTGCGTTACTTTTTATTTCCAGTCATTTACGTTTTATAGAAATTTATTTGAGTTCTGTACTTTGACGCTTATCCAGTTTCGATGGACGGTCGAGTTCTGCCAAAGAGCCATTCATTTCGGCTGGTCGGAGTCCAGATCACCGAGGACCTGATCTGGCACGAGCACATCTCGCCAATAGCTGCAGCTGCTGGGAAAAAGCTAGACTTGTTCAGGGCTAAGAAGTACTTTTCTCCGCATGACCTTCTCATTCTATACAAGGCCCAGATAAGGCCTAGCCTCTAGTATTGCTCACACGTTTGGGATGCTGCCGCCCCGACTACATTATTCATGCTCGATGCTGACCAGAGGAGGGCGGTCCGACTGATCGATTACTCTTCTCTAACAGACAGTCTCGGGACTCTTTCGCAGCGGCGGGCCGTCGGCGATCTAGCTCTTTTCTGTCGCTATACCAACGAGCTTTGCTCCTCAGAGCTCTCTTGCATGATGCCGCCGCGCGATGTGCCTGCCAGACAGACCCGCCTGACTTTGGCGCCACATCCTAACCGTGTCAAACTTCATACATCCAGAACTGGCCGATATGACCGCTCCTTTGTCCCGAGGGTGTCGAGATTGTGGAACAATCTACAAGAGGAAGCTTTTCCCAGTTCTACTAACCTTAGGCAGTTCAAAAATCGTATTAACAAAATTTCTTTGGGATCATCATAGCAGCCGCGATGTTCCGGCATTTAGGCTTCTGCCTGCGCGGCTGCTTCAATATATAAAAAAAAATTGCGATGTCAATTGAAAATACAAATCAGCGCGTAGATGTGAGGCATTGGGAAAATGTTGGATGTGTAATGTGTCATTATTAATTTTCCTATGATGTGGCAATTAATGCACACAACGCGGGAGTGGTGACAAGGGCTCCTCAAAGTTTTTGAAAACACAAAAAATGGGAAAAATCCAAATTTTTAATTTTGAATATATAGGACACCAAATGAATAACCCGTCAGTCACAACTAACAGATATACTGCATTGGCAGCTTACTCAGTAATAATTTTCTCACACAGCAAATATTACTAATTTTATACGCATAATCATCCTCATGCGATCTTGCTTTCCAACCAACTTTCTTTGTTTCGTATCTTCTCAGAGATGAAAACTACAGACTACTCGGCTTCACAAAACATATGCAACCAACAATGCCTGTAGTTGAGTCATTCCTCCATAGATGGACGCGCACCACGATCCTAGTGAGCAAACGAGGAATGAATGTTTGCACCCTAAAAACTACATCGTCTGCAAGATGACATTTTGTAGGTTTTTTTGTCGCTTTTTACATAATGCCCGTGCCGCACTATGAGAAATCCATTACAAATCATATGACAAAGACCTTACCAGAAAAAATTGTTATAATTTATTAACCTGCATTTCTTACGCAAAATTTGAGATAAGTACTCAAAAATGCTCAGAATTGGTATAGAATGATTTACATGATACGTATTTAGGGCCGTATCGTCAGTCGTTCCTACAATAATTGTAGGTCGCCTTTATGGCCTCTTTGATTTACATAGTCTTTTCTCTCTTTCAAAAAGGCTGGGCTATAGATTTTTCAGGTAGGTTTTTGCGTGATGTAGGTTTTCCATGAACTGTTATCTTTGAATTAGCTGACAGTCACTTCATGCTCACTTGTACAAGGCGCACAAGTTGACTTTTTACCCGTTTTCATGATACTATACAGGTTTTTTAAGTATCTGGGGAAGTAGATATCATTTTAAAAATTTTGCTCTCATCAGATATAGATACTATAATCTCAAATTCTCATAACCGTTTTACGTCAACTTTTTGATCGGTCCTTGCAGTTCTACGTAGGACAACTTGTATAGTTGCAAGCATAGGTGGTTGGATTGGATATCTGCTAGTGAAATCTGCAAATCAGTGATTTTAGTTGTTCTATACAAAGTGTTAATTAAGTATGTACCATAAATTCAACAATTCAACAGACGATTGTTAGAGTAATTTTAAGACAAAAGGTTCATATGAACATAGGTCCGCATATTCTTCGTTCTCAAGATTCAAGGGCGTAAGAATTAAAAAAAAAAAGTATGTTTTTGTAAATCACTTAAATATCCCTTACCTGATATTGTTGTAATTTGGCAGTGATATTCATAACATTAAGCACATAATTTAGACCTATTTGATTAAATTTATTCAGTCGAGCGGCGTCTTGAACTGGATCTGAACGAATACTTGTGACAAAAAAATATACGCCACTGGCTTTTGTGCAATTTTTATTATGTTCTTTGGATTAGGCAAATAGAAATACAACTTTTCGTCACTTGAATTTTTTTCGTACCTTGCTCAGCGAGAAAAAAGTGCACTTAATTGCATACGAGGAATATAGGCAAAGTTTCCTTTAGATTTTTTTAATTTTTTATTACTAATTTATGTAACAACAACAATTAAATACTAAATTAAATTACATTAGATTAAGATCTAAACTGATGAATTTTATCACTAACTTAGGAGTAGTAAATAATAACCAAGGGTTGCATTTAGTAAACAACTTGACAGTCGTCAACTTAATATTCATAAACAATTAATTTATGATTTTTGTAAATAAAAAGTCTTTTTAGTAGTTATTTTTGTCCAATGTGGTTTAATTTACTAATAGTGAAATGACAGATATGCATTTCAATTATGGAATGGCTCATGGAAACTCTAATGCTGCAGTTTTTGGAAAATAGCTGAAGAACTGGATATTAGCCATGTCACAGTGTGGCAGATTTAAAGAGACCAGCAGTTATATCTATATCATATCCTACTTCTGCAAGATCTATTGCTCAGAGATATGCATTTAAGACTAGTTTTTTCTGATTGGTTTCGCAGTAAAATGCTAAGCAATCCAGGTTATCTAAGTCGAATATTGTTCTCCGATGGAGCTCGTTTTTCTCGCAATTCAATTATTATGTTCCGCAACAAGCACATTTGGGCCGAAAACAATACACACGCCTTAATAGAACATAATTTTCAAGAACAGTTTTCTTTTAATATTTGGGTTCGAATTGTCGGTGACCATCACATTGGGCCTCATTTTCTTCCATCCAGACTGAATGGAGAAGAATAACGTAGGTTTTTAGAATTTGATTTACGTAGACTTTTAAAAGCAGTCCCACTCATGGAAAGATTCAGTATGTGATACATGTACGACAGGGCTCCACCGCACTTTAGTGTAGTGGCGCGTCAATTTTTGGATGAAAATTACCAAAATCGCTGGATTGAGAGAGCAGCCCCCTCGCTCGCCCGATATCAATCGCTTATATTATTTTCTCTGAGACATCTTAAAGCGTTGGTATACAAAACTTCTATTGAAAGTGAAAACGATTTACGGAATAGGATCATTAATTCGTGTGACATAATAAATAAATACGCCGGGAATTTTCAGGAGAGTGCGTATTCTAATGATGAGGTGGCTTGACGGTTGTATTGAAGCCGAAGGAGGCCATTTCCAACCCTCAGTTTAGTGAAATTTGTTAGTCTAGATGTTAATGTCATTTAGTGATTGTTGTTGGTGTTACATAATTAGTAATAATAAATTATTAAAGAAATAGAAATTTCCAAAACAAACATTTCCCCATATTCCTTGTGTGATCCTGGGTATGCAAAAACTACGGAAGATACGAAAAAAATTCAAGATACAAAACAGTTGTGTTTCTATTTGCTTATTACAAAGGACATACTAAAAATTGCACAAAAGTGGCGTACATTTTTTTATCACAAGTATCCGTTCAGATTAGTCAGGACTAAACTAGCTCCTTAATGTTATAAATACTACCGCAAAATTACAACAAAATATTTAATATATTTACAAAAAACATTTTTTTTATTTCAACGCCATGTATCTTGCGAACGTATAATTTGCGGGCCATGTTGATATGAACTTTTTTCTTAAAATAACTTAGAAAATCATTTGCTGAATTAATGGCAGATATCAATTAACACTCTTTATAACATCCTCGTCAAAAGTCATAACTTCGTCATTGAAACTTATTCCGTCTTTTACAGGTCTACCGATGGTTTTCATCTTAGTTTGGGCCGTCGTGAAGAGCTTCATACGACCGTCTGTGGATCCTGCAAACTCAGTAAGTATTTTCCAAGCTCGTAGTCGAAATAGAGAAGACGATTTTTATTGAACCTATAATTCACGCTAAGTTACCTTAGTTGTATGCAACACATCAGTCATGGAAATTGATAGGCTTTATTTTTGGAAAACGAAAGAGGTATATTCCTGAAGGTTCGTTGATTAATTGGAAAAGTGGCTTTAGTAACCCAAAATTACACTGGAGTCTGCTAGTTCCTTTTATGCTCCGTATCCTGCACTAGAATTAATTTAGATTAATTGCAAGCTTCACGTTCAGAAAAGTTCCTTCGTTAACCTAGGCTGGATTTTAAATCACCTTCATTAATCTTGCTTAGCTTCCGTGTCAATTGGATTCATGGTTGCGATCTAGAATGATACATTTCAATTCAGCTGCCCAACAATCAAAGACATTGTGACAAAAATCTAAAATAATATTCTACGCTTTCTGTTAGTCACATTTGAAAATATCTTGATCATTTTAAGTCAATAAAATGACGTCAAGTAGACTTGTATATGTATCATGTATAGTATCTGAGTGAACTTTAGTATACTCTGGTAGAGATTCACCAAGTCAAGTAGCTTAATATTTTCAAAAACTACTTGACTTCAGAATAAAATTGCTTGAACCGTTAATATTTGGCTTGACCTGATTTCTTTATTGTTCCCTTTGACTTGAGGTCAAGCATTTTCAAATTGCTTGAAACTTGATGGCAAATTATATTTTTGTTCTACGAAAGACCAGTAATATTGATTTGTACAGCCGATGCGCTTTATTTTGTATTTTGATGCAAATAATCTCATAGAAAATCACAAATTATCACAGGCCGCCATTTACCCCGCACTGCAATGACAAATGAACCAAGCAAACAGCGTTGCCAAACACACACACACACAAAATCGGTAGATAGTGTCATTAAAATTCCGAAAATTCACAGACAAAACGGTAGGAAGAAAAATCAGGGCCGGCTTAAAAACAGCAGTTGATCAAGTACTCTTGGGTCACGCAGCGCCGTGTAAGAAAAGTATATTTTCGCATAGAACGGCCCTACAACACAGATACACATTTTGTTTTCATTAATTCGAAAACAAATTAAATGTTGTATAACAGGTGCAACTATAAATAATTATTATTAAATAGGAGTTTCATTATTTTTAACTTTACCATCATTACAAATCTCTGTGTCTTAACTCGTGGTTAGCCAATGAAAAATGGCCGGCTATGAAAATCATTATATCCTGACATAAGGCCGTAGAGTAGAATGAAGATCAGGAAAAAAGGACATCAAGTAGATTGACTCTATACTTTCCACGCCTTCGAAACAACTTCTAGTAGTTTCATGTAGTGCAATAGCATCGAAAAAACGCAGATTTTGTCAAAACCATAAGTGCACTATATTTGGGCTTTTCATGAACAAAAATTTCCTCAGAATGCAGCACGGTAGTCTCATTTCTATGCAGCTCTGGTGCAAAAATGTTTGTCAAAAATATTTGATAACTGATTATAATAGCTCTTGATACGCACTTAGACACTAGATATACTACACTGTATAATTTTACATCATGAAATCAAGTAACCTCATTAAATTACACTCCAAGCATAATGCTCGTATACAAGGTGTTCATTTGGAAACTTTATCGGATATCGGATTTATCGAAAACCACTGATTAAGAGAAAAAACGGCGAGACACGTCAAAAGATTTGTCAAGAGGTATAACTTTTTAACCAAAAACTACTTCACCTCCTTTCACCCTCGGCCCTCCAGGGTCATTCCATAGAAAAAATTAAGAAGTAGAGATGTTTTCGATCCGCGTTTTCCTGCTATCTAAGAGCAAAAGCGTATACACGGAAAGGAAAAACGTTGCCAGACGGACGGTAACGACCAGTAGGGCATTTGGACTAAATTTATGGGCCTGTTTGACTGACACAATTCGTTTAATCTCTGTGTTGTACATGTAACTGAGGATTTAAATTCCGCTAAACTGAATCCATTATGGACTGAAGGCGGTGTTGTGTAGGCAGTGCAGAGTCAACCTACATGACGCTTTTTTTTTCTTTCCAAAGCCAAAGGGAGGAAGACAAGACAAAAAAACGAAAGCTAACATATAGTATTTTTTCCGTGTATAATACACAATTTTTTCTGTGACGGGAAAAACGACGATTTAACATTAAAAAAATATATTAGTACAATTTTTAAGTCAGAAAATTATCGACGTAAAATTTGAATTTTGATAGTAGTAGGCCATGTTGTACTTATAGCGACAATCAGACCTGCGTTGCTAAGGAAACTTTTAAAGCAATCAAATAGCTGTAATTTAATTTTGTGATTTGATTTAAAAATTGTGAACGTAGTGGTTGATTAGAAGTTATTTTTAATACTATAAAGTAAAAAATGTCTGATTCCGAGTTTTCTTTGACTTCACCGGAATTAGTAGAAGTAGCCAAAGTAGCGTCAAAAAAATGATTGCCCGCTAAATCGTTTATACAATATCCGGGAAAAAGTACTCATTTTTATCTGGGGAAAAAGTAATTCCATAAAAAGTGACATTTTGTTACCTGTCAACAGAGATAAAATGTCAAACATTTTTCCCGTCTCAGAAAAAAATATTTTGTGTGTGTTGATAGCAGTTGTGCCAGGACACGAAGTAGTGATAGTTCGCCTAGTAATCGATAGATGACTCTATAGTGATATTGGTAGCACATTATCTGGGGCTCACAGCGCATGCGTAGATTTGAGGTTAGGACAACAAGTATCTATCTGCAGAATACGTGAATTTATTGTGTGCAAACTTTCTCACGAAACCAAGTTATCAGGTAAGTTGCAGTTCTTTTACGTGATCAAATGTATCAGATATACATCTGAGATGATGTTGGAATACGAAACAAACGGTAAAAGTAATTTTTGTGGAGAATACATATATTCAAATTAATATATCAGTATATTTTGGCCCACGCTTTCGGGTATCTTTGGCCCATGGGCCAAAGTATCCTTATAAGGATTTTTCATTATATTTTTACATAACCAGCTAAATTGAGCCATTCAATCGGTTACTTTTGACCTTTTAGATACACAAAGATGCCTACCATCTATAGAAGGAAAGTGGGAAATCGTCGTTACATTGACTACACTAAAGAGCAGTTGGAGCAAGGTTTAAATGACATGAGATCCAAGATACGGACTCAACGGGCAGCTGCAGCTAAGTATAAAATTCCTCGTAGTACGATAAAGAATAAACTGAAGAATAAGCACTGTAACAAACCCGGCCATCCAACTATATTCACAATAGAAGAAGAACAAGCATTTGTTGCCCATGTTACAGCGCTCTCAGAATTTGGGTTTCCGATAACTGATATTGACCTCAAAATTATTATCAAAGACTACTTGTCAGCTCGTGGAAGACAGGTAAAACAGTTTAATAAAAACATACCTGGCATCGAGTGGGTCAGAGGATTTCTCAAGCGAAACAAGATTCTGTCTAGACGATTAGCAAACAATATTAAAAAAGTAAGAGCAGCAATTTCAGAGCCAATTATTAAACAGTTTGTTGAAAATTTGACTGTAGAGTTAGACAATATTCCACAAGAGAATATCTACAACTACGATGAAATTAGCCTTACCGATGATCCCGGAAAAAGAAAGTAATTTGTAGACGTGGCACAAAGTATCCTGTCATTCAGTCATGTTTTGTGGGAATGCCGTAGGGGAAACTGTTCCGCCATATGTTATTTTTAAGCAGAGCATTTGTGGTCTACTTGGACTGAAAATGGACCACACGGAACCCGGTATAATAGAACCAAAAGCGGTTGGATTGATAGTATCATGTTTGAGGACTGGTTCGAATCTCATTTACTGCCAATTTTAAAGAAAAAAGATGGCCGCAAAGGGATTATTGGTGACAACTTGTCCTCCCATATAAACAAAAATGTGTTAGCAGCATGCGAGGCCAACAACATCAGTTTTATCTGTTTACCTGCCAATGCAACTCATATTCTTCAGCCACTTGATGTGGCATATTTCAGGCCATTGAAGATCGAATGGCGTCAAGTCTTGCTAGATTGGAAAAATACCCTAGAAGGAAGAAGACTTCCAACCGTGCCGAAGGATCAATAAAAACTACACCGGATAGCATGAAAGAAACCCAAAGTTATCTCGTAAACGGGTTCAGGAAAACTGGCATTTATCCTCAGAACGTAGAAGAACCTTTGAGTAGATTGCCAAGGCAAGACAGAATCTAATTTCCGGCGCTTTTATGCAAAATCTGAAGCAATTACGGAGTAACGATAGCCCAAACCGAAAGAATCAAGGCAAGAAGAAAAAGCTAGATGTACCTGCTGGTCGATCCATTCGCTCAGAAGATATTTCAGACAGAGAACAAGCTAGTTCTTCAGGAGTAAATAGATCAGATCCTAAGAAAAATTCAAAGTCCAGGAAGCGATTGATAAGTGAGGTTTCCTCTTCAGAATGCAGTGACACAGACATAAGTTTGGCATCTTCTACTGAAGATCTCATTCTGGCACGAGATCAATCTGATGATGAAGAGGACAACTTACGCCTAGCACAGCTTACAAATCGCAATCCGAGAAGCAACTATGATGGAAATCTGGAGGCGCTTGGGCCATCAACTCAGCTACCAGAGCCCATTCCTCCGGATTGCAACACAAGGTTTATTGAAGATCCGATTTTAAGACACTGTTCGAAGTCTGACGGTCAAAGTTGCAGTAATGAAATAAAATTAATCCAGATGATGTACAAAAAGCGGAAGAGGAATATCAAAATGGCGATGGTTACTGTATCAATGATCATGTATTGGTTAAGTGGAATTCACGTGTTTATCCAGGCAAAATTATATCGATATCTGCAGAAGGAGCGCTAATAAGTTGTATGAAAAAAGGAGAGTTCTGGAGAGCCTAACATAAAAGACAAGTGATAACGAAGATTGGAGTACCAAAATTCGTGAAAAATGGACAATTTACTGCACCTGAACTTGATAAAATACGTTTTTTATAAATTAAGCCATAATTTAATTGATTAATTTGAATATGTCTTCACAAGGTTCTCAATTTTGAAGACTGATGAGCAACTCTAGACTGTTTAGTTTTTTTGTCCAATAAAAAGTGCCTAACAATAATATAATATGTCTTTCTTTCATATTTGCCGATATATACTGTTTACTTTGCTCCAACATTAAATATCAATACCTTGTAATACTTAAAAACCAAGTGGGTCAAAGAAACCATCTCTTAAGTAGAACTTTGGTCCTAACTTAAAAAAAAAATTATGTCTAAACCCGAAGTTATATCAGCGTTTTTAGACTATAAATGTGTTATTTATATCCCTACTAAATATTTGTCTAAATAACACAAACATAGCATCTTTAAAACAGAAGTAATTGTAAGGGCAATAAAAAATATCATTATTTTGGGACAAAGTACGCCGACCTTACGGTACCTCATTGCACCAAGCCCTTAAATTATATTCGCTTATGGATTATTTTAATCCCAAAATGAAAAACCGATTCTACTACATCATATTCCGGCAGCTGCATTCTCGACCTATCGGCAACTCCTGAACATCGCAAGCTTGGTTTCCCTTTGAGGCTGTAACTTGATGTAAGCTTTTTGCGACACTACCACCCATTCTGTCCGCCTTTTCTCTCTAGCCGAGTATCAAGCCATCTCTAATGGACGTTGATTGAACGATAAAAGTTATTAGTGCTACAGTACAGTCAAACTATATTGTAACTATCTAAAACTGTAATGACTCATACGAGCGATCAGAGCCTGACCACCGCCGGGCGACGGAACGGCTTTCGAGAGACGTCAGGCTAGAACAGGGTGATATTCTAAGCTCTGAGTGTTCGATTTACATAGTCTCAAGAATATACATTTTATTCGGACAATATCTCCCACAATCATCTTGATAAACCTTGAGATATTAGAATACAAGTATGTTAATAAACAAAAAATGGGAAAATATGGGCCTACCGTTTTGATTCAATTCTTTATTACAATTTCAATTTTTATATCATGCTCACAAGATCTCCTCTATTTGTTATAATAATCTTGAGTAAAACAGTATATAAATCACGATCGTGCTACTTCACCTGTGTACCCTGCCTAAATGGTGGTTCATACATAAATGCTACTACTACGAGAATAAGGATCTTCAGAAGAACTAAAAAATCCGCGGATAACGCTTTTCATGAGGATATAGTCATTTTTAATCGTCCTCTGGTTGCCTTATTAGGTCCTTGCCTGTTTCGGAACGGATACCAAGTGGCTTGGTTTGCTCAAGCGGTTAAGCTTTGGGCTTCCATTCCACCCCGCTCGGGTGATTTTCATTTTTTTTCCTTCAAGTAAGTTTGTTCGATCGCCATACGACTCGAAATCCCGTGAAAATTCGCCAAGTTGTACTTATTATCCCGAGAAAATTATATTCGGCTTTATTTGTTAACTCAATGTGGATTTTGCACTACGAGCTGTTGAACAATGAACGAATAGCTGATGCCGCGCGCCATCCTGTTTACCTGTAGCACTATTGACTATCACGCGGGCGAAGCTCTGGGCGTATTCTATCTAGTAAGTTTTCATTTTTGGAAAATATCTCATTTGCATTAGTACTTTATATTCAACAAGTTTTTGCAATTCAAGATGATTTTGTGGCCTCAAAAACCATAACGTATTATTTTTCCAACGATGAGCTCGTCTACTTGTAATAAAACATTAAAACCTGTCAAAATCAACAAACATGCTAATAGTAAGAAACGCGCATGGATATTACCATAATTAAACTGAAAGGAAGAATGAAAACTGATTGCGGTCCTGAGATAAGATGATAAGAACTTGTTTCGTTGAGAGTCTAGTTACCGCATGTTATTGCTTGTTATTAGAAAAGTTCTTATTTGGTTATTTGCTGTTGTTATTGTTCTGGTTACACTTACATTTTCTTAACCATGGAGGGTGAGACTAGAAGTGGAAGTACTGGAATCCAGGAAATAAGTAGAAAGCTTTGTAAGGCTGAAAGACGCGAAAGAAATCGTCCTCAACGTGTTCAATTCTTTGAACAAGACTGTGTATCAGGAAGATGCACTTACGCGTTGCGAAAGCATGACAGGCATCCCAGAGTGGACTGTTCGCAGGGTGGTGCGTGAACAGAAGAAAACTGGAGCTACTGCTTATCCAAAGTTCTATTTGAAGAGACGAAAGGCTAATTGGCTAATTGGCTACAGCAAAATGGCGCTAAGACGAACCGTACAGTCATTCTTTATTAGGAATGAGATACCAGCCTTTAAGGCTATACATTCAAAGATCAAGAGTAATGACATTGTACCCCCTGTGAGCGTCGAAGTATTGAGGAACCTTGCACGAACTCAATTTTCGTTACGAAACGGGTAATCGGAAGTCAGGATGCAATAACTGAATATAGACTACAGAGCAGAAAAATATATTATTTGGACGAGACGTGGGTAAATGCAGATCACACAGTGGATAGACCAAAATGTACGCGACAAGAAAGCATTGAAGGTTTGTCAACAGGTCTTCGTGCACCGTCAGAAAAAGTCAAAAATTGATCGATAGTGGCTTTTTATAAGGATGTCTCTAAGAAAGGGGTGATTACCATGACGAAATGAATGCCAGCTGCTTCGAAATCTGGTTACAAGGGGTGCTTCAGCTAGTTGAACCCAACTCTGTGATCGTCATGGATAATGCTTCCTACCACAGTCATCGAGCCGAACGTGTACCAAATATGGGGTATCGAAAAAGTGAGATGCAGCAATGGTTGCAAAGGGCATCCCGTTTGATGATTCATGTATGAAAGCGGAACTGTACCAAACAATTAATTGAACATCACAATCCTGCGAACATTAGTTACGTGATTGATGAGATGACCCGTCATTGTGGTGTCACTGTGCTGTGTTTACCGCCATACGATTGTGAACTGAACCCAATAGAGCTCATCTGGACTCAAGTGAAGGGTTATATTGCGCGCCATAACACAACTTTTAAATTACCAGACGTCAAGGATTTGCTAGAGAATTCCATACAGCTGGTAACGCCTGAAACGTGGCAGAATTCTGTACGTCATGTAAAGGAAGAAACAAAAATGTGGCAGCTTGAACACAACATCGACCTCATTTGTAGTCGGATTTCAAAATGAATTGCACATTAACATTGCCACTTTCTCTCCTTTACAGCATCAAATTTTTAATTCTAATTCGAAAAACATCTAATAGGGTATACATAGGCATTGCCAAACCTTAGTTATTAAAAAACAGAATTTCTTAAGTAGGCCTTGAAATTACCACACCGTCATTTGTTTAGTATGCCAGATTAATCCCAGATTCATTATTTATTTTTCCTAACTTTGCTTGAGATGAGATTTCAATGTTAATTACATGTTGCCACTTTCACTTTTCCTCCTCTAAAAGTTTGCGACTTGCAACACCAACTTTGTTTTTTATTGGAATTCTGTATAATTGAATTGCGTTTTTAGTCCTTTACTGCTAGGTTTATTGCCCTTCTTCTCAGTCGTCCGGACTATGTTCAATTTGAGGTCTGATCTGCACGGGTATTTTGTATCCTGAAAAGTGACATTTCGTCGTTTTTTTTTTGACATTTCGTAGATTTTTTGTGAAATAACGTAGGTTTTTCTACAAGATGTTAACTTAGCACAAGCTGTTGTACACTTGTTGTGAACCGGTTTTGTAGCTGTAGGTGTCTCTTAAACGTAAGCGAACAGCGATCATAGCGAGTAATCGTGGAATGAACTAAATTCACACTAAAAACTACCTAGTCTGCAAAATGACATTTCGTTGGCTTTCTTTGACGTTTTTTAGGTTTTTCATATATGTTAATACCCCTGCCGGTATACGAAACAACTGATCTGATGATTTCAAGGCCTACCTAAGAAATGAAGCAACTTAATGTATGACATATTATACATTTTTGGAATCAGAGTTAAAAACTATGTGCAGACATCAAATATGGCGTTCATGAGACAAAATAGATTTGATGTTAGAGGCCTTAATGAAATTCTAACTATGCCATCTTTTAAAAAAGAAAGAGTGGCTATGTTGATGTACAATATAGTTTTAAATCCCACTACAAATAAAGTCAAAAAAAAGAACTTGGTATAATTCGGTTTTTTCGGTCTTTCTATGAAAGTACTTAGAATTTCTAAACTTTCTAAGCGGCATTTTGTTAGTTACCTTAATACCCCGCTTTGCCCTCATTTAAGCGACTTCGTATCTCTTATCATTTCCGAGATCCCAATGGTAATGGTCGAATTGGAAACACCCTGAATGTAGGTACCCCATTAACTCAAGGAATGAGTTTTCGACCAGAACACAAATTCATGGAGATTTTTAAAGATGTCCTCATAGAAAACCTCAAAATTTTGTAGGACTTTCTAAGGCAAAAGGATCCATGACAAAACATATGTAAAATGAGTCGTATACGATTTGTCTAAAAATTGAGCATAATACAAAAGTTCTCGTGGGACCAAACCAATTCTATGATTGCTTTCTGGGAAATACCAGATTTTTGCCCGATTCGCAAAAATGGCGAATGTGTCTGCTGCAGTTCTGCGACCATAAGAGAATTGTTATACTGAACAAAGTATTTCATTTAGAAACCTTTTAGGAAGGTGTTGTGTGCCTAGAGTTTGGGCGCCAGACACACATCTGCAATAATGACCATTAACTTTTTATACAATCATGTGGTAAATCATCGTTATGTTCATTCACTTGTCGATAAGATATCCATAGTTGATACTTTATTGGTTAAATTCTTTGTGCGGATACCTTTTACTTCTAGCACTAGACGTACGCAACGTTTGGGTATCGCGCCTCCGCTAACAACTGACGCGTTAATGCAGTATTAGCACCTCTCATAAATAGTAATTGGATGACACGAGCCCCTTCCCACTTCATTTGGACCAACTATTGAAATTTTAGTTTTTTTTATTATCAAACACAAATAATAAAAATGTAGCAGGGTGTTATAGGTTTAAAAT